ACTCCCAATGTCGACAAACACCCTTTGTACCTCATAACCCGACACTTGGGCAGTTATCATTAGAGCATCGTTATGTGGCCTCTCGACTTCATCTATATCCGCTGGCCCAAAGTTCATCACCGGGCCGTTCTCGTCGACTTGCTGCACCTCAACTTTCCCGTGGCGCCCTCGAGCGTATGCCTTTCTGGCTCGACCCTGGGCTGCTCGACCCTGGGTTGCTTGACCCTGGGTTGCTCGACTTGGGGCTGCTTAAGTTGGGCTGCCACCGCCTCCGCAATCATCTTCTGCATCTCGCTTCTCGTCATGGTTAACGTCGGCTCCTCGACCTGGGGTGGTGGTCTCGCCCCTTGTTCCAACATTCCTAGTTGTCTCCCCAGGCTCAAAGACGTCTCAGTCGACTCCTGCCCATCGACTCCGTGCTCGTGCCCTTCACATGGCTGGGTCCCCCTTGTGCGAGCACTGGGATTTTGACCCCCGGTGGGGTAATAGGCGTTTTCTCCTCAACACGCACTCCTGACGGCGCGTGTGCTCCAAATGGTGGGAAACCGAGCACTTGAAGTGGCGGCCTGGGTTTGGGAATCTGCAGAGGCCGCTTGTTCATCCATGTTCCCATAAAATCCTCGCTCAAATTCCTCTGCAGTCATTCCTTCTCCGCCATCCCCGAACAGATCAAAACCAGGTGCAAAGCTCTTGTTTTCTTTGAGAACTCCCCACAGACGACGCCAATTTGATGGGTCTCCTCCTACATCTGGAGTGAACTGGTGGAAATGGGCTCCAATCTATTAGAACTGCCGTTAAATCGCCATCGAGTTGCAGCAAACACCTGCAAGAACTCAACACCAGAGGTGTTTTCGGTGAAGAGCCTCCGACGCTCAAGTCAGTATGAGAGTGATGAAGATGAGCTCTGCTCAGTGGGAGCAGCAGCTGAGAAATGAATGGAGAGAGTGAGAATTAGGGTTTGGGAGTTACCTCAGCTCCTTTATATAGAAGCAAAACATTTACCTGAAGTCCCCAAAATACCCTGACTGACTTATAAGAAGTGTCCAAAATGCCTTGGTCGGTTCGCATTCCGTCCACCTCCTAGTCAGCATCCAGATTCCTTCTTATCCTTGGTAGATTCACTCTTGCTTGGAGGTTTTCCTACGATATGTTGAAGTATATAGAAGTCGTCGGAGGTCCTGGAGCATCGAGGCGTCCTAAGTCGACTTCAGTCGTTGTTGAGTCGACTCGAGTCATTCTTTATCATCCGTAGATAGTGTTATGCTTATTCGTCTCTTTTGAGGGAGGTCGACTTCTGGAAGGCGACTGAGGGAGTCACCTAGACCTTGTTAGGCCGGAGACAATTCTCAGGAAATTCATAGGAAGAATCGACTTTGCGGAAGTCGACTACTTGATGTTGATTAGTGTGGGTCGACTAACATGCCTATCGCTCGATCGAGTATTTAAGCCTGAACCGCTATGCCACAGTATGGCTATATCACCGGTTGAAGATGAAATTGTACCGGATTCGAGGGCGCATACTTTTCGACAGGGAGAGAATGAGGGATACGAAATATCGTCTGGCATCATTGATTTAGGATTATATATTTATTTATATTTACCTTTGTTTTTTATTCCTTTTATGTTTAGCATTTAATTGGTAAGAGAATAATTATTTATTAATTTGTTTAGCGGACAAATAATTATTAAAATTGTAAGAGCTTTATTAAAGGACTCATTCTCTTGGATTGAGATAATTAATTATTGAACATGTTAATTTCTCTCACTCATACGTCCTGGTACATCATTTGTAAAAAGTGAAATTTGTGTACTCTTTTATAAAAGACAGAATTGCATATTAATACACTACCTTTCATGTTTTTTGCAATTTAATCACTATCTATAAAATTTTACAAATTAATACACCACCTTTAACATTTTTGCAAATCGATACATGATTTACGGTTCCGTTATAAAAACCTAACGAAAATCTGACATGGCATTGACGTGGCTCAGTTCCATGCTAAATTTTCGTTAACGGAACCGTCATTCATGTATCGATTTGCAAAAACGGTAAAGATGGTGTATTAATTTGCAACATTTTAAAGATGGTGATTAAATTGCAATAACATGAAAGGTGGTGTATTAATATGCATTTTTGCCTTTATAAAATTGAAAGGTTAGGATTAATCTCTATCAATGTATTCAATACTGTTTGACTTTTAATTTTAAAATGACTTGAAATTATTTTTATCTTAACTAGTTTAACATTATTTATTTTTCAATTATGTATTCAAGAATTATTTTCTTAAAATGTTTAATATTAATATTTTATTTAATTTCTTAAGATGAATAATTACGTTAAATATTAAATATTTTCTTCAAGAAAATTTTTATCTTCTATAGTATAAAATTCCATCTGCCCCTACCGTACTCCAGCTTGGTAGTTTCCACCGTTTGTCCAGAGTTTATTAAATAATTTAGCACTAGTACAACACCGTGTATTACACGGGTTGCTTGTAAAAAAATTATTCTTAAATTTTAAAATTAATGAGAAAACTATATTATTTAGTTTACTTTTTACAAAAAAAATATATTACTATATATTTTAGAATGGTATGTGTTACTTATGACTTACATGTGTTATATTATATTGGTTTTTATAACTTATATAATATAACTACTTGAAATATAAATATATTAGTTAATAAATAATATTATTTTTCTAATTAATATTAAAAATAATTTTATTATTGTTATAAAGATAAATATAAATTATTTTTTTATACATACAATATGGATGTTAAATCGAAGCTCATCAACAGAAGATTAATTTGATATATTACATATGTAAAACTGATAAAAAATACAAAAGTTATTAACTTTTAATATATATATATATATATCTATACAATTCAATAGTTATAATAAGGAATGATATTAAAATACAATTAATACATGTAACATGATCATAAATAATTAACATATTTATGGTAATCTGAACCTAATTATTTTTGGTTTGAAATTAAATTAAAATTTACTCAAGCCTAATAACGAAGCATGTAATTTTGCCACATAAGATTCAGAAGCACCAGAAGCAGCCACGTAGACTCAGCGCGTTCTGGATAAATATATATAGGGAGGATTAATTATTTTTATCTTAAAACTAGTAAATTTCCGGCTGTGTTAAACACAGCCGGCCCATATGTTGTATAACTATTTAATTTCTTTACATTGTAAATAGTTATTTGTCGTTTGTAATTATTTTTTTATGTAAAGTTGTAAATAAGTATTGGTGTATTGTTTCATGATATTTACTTATTGTAAATTAATGTTGTATTGTTCTGAAAAATAGAAGATAAAAAAAAATAGTTAATATTTACAATTTATAATCATTTCATTTGCACGTACTGAAAACAATTATGTGTTGTGTGTAATTATTTTTTATTAAAATTTTTCAATATAAACAATGATATTGTAAAACTTTAGATCTTGTTTTCTATGTAGTATAATTTATAATGAATAAGTACTTTAAATTTAGTTAATTGTCACTTAATATTAAGTATAATTATTTCTGTAGGTATAGGTGTCCCAAAAATTTTAAAAAAATAGGAAAGGGTAAAATACGAATTAAAAAAAAAAAAGAAAAATATGTGAAAATAGTAATGTAAATATAAAGGACGTAAAAGAAATATAAAAAATGAAATACAAGTTTCTTATGTAATGTTTTTAGGTATCCATGACTGCTACTCGCTACAGATAACATAAGAAATTCAAATGTAAAGTGACAGTTGAACAATATATGCACGAGCACGTTGCATTAATCGACATGCATTATAATAGTAATATGATAAAAGAAGACCAACTACTACACATAAGTTCCTACTCAAATGTTTTGGAAATTTTTAGTCACAACTGACAACATCCTTAAAATGTACATTAATATATTCTAAGTTTGAATAAATATTCAAACTTAGGAAACATTAATGTGTAAGTCCGCATAGTAATTTTGTAGGGAACTACATACACAAAAGTTAAGTTCAAGCCAAAACAGATGACACACAAAATTTTAAGCATCGATAATTGTTCTAGGATATTGGTTTTAAGAAAAATTGAGGGTTAATCTAGATATGCACATCATGCATTTTTTTCTGCCTTTTACTGGAAGGTTCAGTAGTTGGCTGTTCTATGGCTGGTCATTTGAAATTGTTGCAGCGCTACTTACATTGCTTGATTTGAGTTCAAAATTTAGTGATCTTTTTGCTCCTGTTCTTTTTTCTTTCTCAGTGGCAGCTGGTGATGGGGTATCAAGCAGTGATGTGAACACTTTCTGTGCAGTTGGGGTGAATTGTTCTTCCACAATAACTTGTTAAACATTAACGTATAAATAATTTATATAAATGTGTGGGTCATTATTTGTACAAATAATTTATATAATGGGTAGCTAACAATGTTTCAACCAAAAGGTAAAATTTTGCATACTGAAAGTTATGTTAAACCTGTTTTCCCAAGGTGTGTGGATGGGCAGAAGTGTTTGTTTCTTCCATAGTTATTACAGGTTCAATGTTCTCTTCATTGTTGACGTAGACAACAACAACAGCAAAGCCTGACTCGTCCTTGTCCTGGTAGTCGGGAATATAGTGTCTTATGAAACAAGTGATCTGTTTTTTTTTCAAAGTTTGCTTCAACCTCCATGGCAGTTTCAAGCTGCAAATTACAATTAAAAAGGATACAACTTACACACAAGACTGTCTTATTAATTAGTGTGAAATGTTTTTTTTTTAGTTTAAGTAAATTAGAAATATGAATCTTCAACTTGGTTTTTGTTCAAACTCATCTGGGCTGCTATGAGTGGAAGTAGTTGTTCTGCCTCTGGACCACTAATGACAGCTTGTATAAAGCCACTGTTATCTTCAATACCCAAGGTAAATCTAGACCTGTAATTAGCGTTGTAATAACAGTGTAAACATTATTATAAACAACTCAGAAATATTAGGTATTTGATTTTATTATTTGAATACCGAGGCTCGACAGGTCCTTCTACGTTGCAGTGAATGCATGTGACTGTGCATCCAACTTGAGCACGCAGACTTTTTTGCAATTTTGGCAAGCAGTGAACCAGTAAGATGTTTGTCCATGTGTGAGTCTGCCTTTCCTCGCACCCATGCGGTCTTCAACTGAATACATTCAATATAATTTATATTTTGTTGACTATGAAAAATTGTATGCTTGTGTATAATGAAAAGTTGTATAGTAAAAACTCATGACTCACAATGTGCAAATTTTTTAATGTTGATTGTACTGACAGAATCTCAGATTCGTTTGGCGGTGGCAAGAGAAACTTTGGGTCTCTGTACACTTTTTGTTCCACCAGATGGGCAACTTCTTGTTTATGTTCAAGGTACCTATACATTTAACTGCATATGATTAGAGTATACAATGCAGAGCAGAAAAAAATTTTAAGAACAGATGTGATATTTATTACCAGTGTTTTAAAGCAGCTGCCTCTGCCATCGGAGGATTAATCATGATGTTGTTGCCGTAAACTGTTGTCAACGACAACACTATATATGAAAGTAAAACAAAAACAGACAAAAGAAAAATCAGAAATTTGTATCTTTATGATGCATTGCACAAGGGTTGACACAATATAATAAAATGAGGTAATACTCACGATTGAAAGTTGTCACTTTGACTCTCATTGCAATAATAATATTCCCAGTAGCAACTGTGCTTGCTAATTGCTCACCTTCTTCTCTTGCGTACTCATTCCATAACGTTAAAATCATAGGTTTATTCCTATTTAAAGTTATCAGGTAGAAGCAAATAAAATGAATGTTATTATTTAATTGCATAAAATATAAACACAATAAAAAAATATATATTCATTTACTCTGCATTGACGATAATCAGATTTTTGGTGTTTGCCTCTGAAGACAATTCTGTTGGCGACAACGCGTGAATAACAATACCCATAATATCTGCAAAAGAAAAAGTAAACTTTATTAATGTTTCTAAACTTTTGACCAAGTAATTCTTTAATTTTTAAAGAGATGTTAATTTATAAAAACCATTAATTATTTTTTTTTGCTGCTTCCTTTTGTTTTTCCTTTTTTTTTTCTTTTTTCTTTCGTTCTTTTCTTCAAGGACTTTTGTTTTTATAACAAAGAGTTAAACATTACTCTGTGTATGATCTTTTTCAGCAAACATCCGAAGATTAGCGTATTCCCATAGTTCTATCTTGCACGGCAAATGAGGGGGCAATTTCTCAGGAAATGGTTCAACCAATGTGCCTTTTTGTATAGTCCACGTAAAAGCATAATGACTGATTTGAAACTGTGGATTTGCTGGCTGCACCCTCGCTCCTTATACATAGTACCGTCTATATTGAATGATGCGTTTATCCCAAAAGTCGACTTGAGATCCATAAATAGTTGAACCAACAATTGTTCCCTATAAGAGTTACACAAGCAAACTTGATTTTTGAGTATATTGGTATTTAAATGAACTTAATGTTTAATATGTATAGAAGAATATACATATTCTCAAATAAGTGAGGTAAATATACAGCGTAAATGACAAGAATAATATGATGAATGTACCGCTGAATCTGTGAGAACATATCTCCGATAAGGTATCCTTTTTTCTGTACGACCAATTTGAACATGGCTTTTTTCAACTACTTGAACAATTGTTGTCCAGCCTTCAGTGTCAACATCAACTTGATTAATTTGAAGGTATTTGCGCGACATCCTGCAAGACCTTCATAAACACCCATTGAGTAATCTAAAAAAGAAATATTTTTTGTAAAAAACAACAAAAAAGAAAAAGCAGAAGGAAAAATAAATAAATGTAAGCAAAATATATTTACAGACCAAAATTTAAACAGAAGAGTAAATCTTTCAATTACGAAAGAAGTGTAAGGCATTGCAGAACAACCTGATAAAGAAACAACAAAGGTTTCAACCAAAATATTATCAACTATTCCCTGTGGAGACTTCCAATACACCTACAGAAAAGGAAAAAGTCGAAAAACAAAAAAAAAAAAGAAAAAAAAAATTAACAAAACAACGGTAAAAGTTGATAGCAATATAGTAGAAACAATTAACCTGAAAAACACAGAGAAAAAGTCTACAGATCCACAATAAGATTTACATAAAATTAAACAAACAAAAGCATAAAATATGAGACACTGCAGATGCACAACCAATGAAAGGTCATCCTCAACATACATGCGAATAATGAAGCACCGCAATATTACCAGAGAATGCAGAAATAATCCCATGTATACCATAAGAGTTCTTTTCCAAGTATAGCAAAAAAAAAATAAAAAATAAAAGGAACATCATGTAGTAACAGTAAGAACTTTACAACAAAAATTCAAAGAGTGGTGCAAAAATAATCCCAGAGACAGCACAACATCTGTTTTCAAAGTAGAAGCATAAACAATAGCAAATGACATGCAGTAATACTAATACAAGAACAAGAAAATGGAGATCAGAAAAGACTGTAACTTTCCTAACACTACAAAAAAGAAGAAGCACATGAAATAAGCAGCAAGACCCCAAAGTATAAGAAATACACACTACAAGAATAATCATTTTTAGTGACGATGATTTTTGTCGCTATGTCGTCAGAAAAAATATCGTCGCTAATAATGTCCTAATATTGTCGCTATATGTTTGAATGTCGTCACAATAATATCGCTTATTGTGACGGTATTTTTTGTGACGACATAGTGACAAAAATTATCGTCACTAAAAATGATTATTCTTGTAGTGACATAAAATAAACAAAATGAAAAGGTAAAAAGGTTAGAATCTATTAAAAAAAGCACCAAAAAAAAAAGAATTTTACAAACACCAAACATAATAAATAACACATTAAATGAAGAGATAGGTGAAACATAAGAAAAAACACACTGAATAAGGAGGAACAACCTTAAAAAGAGCAGCAACCATGAACACGACAATCAGAATTACACCAACAATATGAAACCACTGAAAAATAAATACAACTAAACCATAAGGAACACAAAACTTACTTGCTTCTAGATAGAGAATGTGAGTAAAATAAAATGATCTGCAAAAGATGCTACTAATAGAGAAAGGAAAGGAACATAACCACATAATATAATAAAATAATAAAAGCAAATTTTTTGGCATACGTGAAACATCTTTTCAATTCAGAAATAATAATGAGTAATAGCCTCCAAAAAGGGGGAAGTTCCTAATAAATCCCCAAACCCTTAATTGAATTCCTTCTCAGTCCCTATACAAATATTTTTCCTCCTAACTCCCTACCCCCTTAAACATCTTACTTTTAAAATACCTACTAAAAAATAAGTAAAAAATAAAACCACTTATTACATCACCCCACTAAAATATGTCTTACATATTATTTTATTATTACTTTTATCTCATACCTACCAAACACATAATATTATTTTATTGAATCTTCTTCTTCCCCAACACACCACCTCCCTCTTCTCTCCCGTCTCCCTCCCGTCTCCTCTCGACAGCCTTTTTTTTTTTTTTTTGCAGGTCGGTCTCTCCGGCGACACGAAATTCGGCGAGAAAAAATCTTGAAGCAACAAATACGGTCAAATAAGTGATTCCGACGTCACAAATCCGGCAAAAAATTTCATCTTTTTTCGGCAACATTTGTGGTGTTTTCGGCCAAAATTTGAAGTAATAAGTATTATATGTATTATATGAGGATCTTGGAGTCCAAAAATCATATATAATTCATATATTTTTGGTTAATTTGTTAAGGATTGAATTTAGAATATTGTTGTTAATATTTACCCTAAATCTTACCCTAAAAAAATTAAATTGATCAAAAAAAATTCTTGTTCATATATACGAAATTGATGTTATCGTTAGGTTATGTAATGTGTTTTTCACCCTAAAACAAGAAAATAAGGTGGGAATGATCATTGTATCACTATTATTGATTATTGTACATTTGTTTGTATGTATATAGTACCACTTTAATACTGTTTAGTACCACATTTTTTTGGGACTGTGAAGTTTTACTTTTTTATTTATCCAATTATTGTTAGATACATGGAAGGGGCACAAAGTGATCTACTAGAGAGTTGTACGTACAAAAATGAATTGTTTGTGTTCTCTATGCACATTGGATTAACACTTGATGAAGTGTACAATCTCATATCTAAGAGGTGGCCGAACGTTAATATCAAATCCGTCGTGCTATGCTATATTGCGCCAAAGGAAAAAAAGAGAGTTACTTTGTCGGATGATGATGATTTGAAGAACATGATTCGATTACATGTGTGTTGGAAAGTAAACATTGTAGAAGTGCTTGCCCTTGAAATACCATGTAAACTGCCCTCCAAAATTCGCGCCCTCGAAATACATTTTCGCGAGCTACCGCAAACTCGCGAGATAGGGACGAGTTACAGAGGCTAGAATTCGCGGCCGCGAATACATGGCCTATCTCGCGAATCCCCATTACCTCGCGAGTTCCCTTTACTTTGTATTCAGAAGTGGTACTAAAGATCGGAAAACATGTACAAATGTAAAGGACCAAAGGTACTAATCGATCAACAAAAGGTACTAATCTTGAGACAGAATAATCTTACCTACTAAAAGTAAATGTAATGAACAAATATTCATTACAAGTGGTACTACACCCAATATCTGATACTAAAATAGCGAAAGCTGGTATTTACGTATTCTAGATCTGGTACCAATTGTTGCAAATGTTGACCACAATTGAATAATCTATTTTCGTTGACAAAAAGTTGGTACTAGTTGACCACGAACAGGTACCACGTAGAACAAAATGCAGTACTATATTGTATAAAATAGGTACTATTTTAAGAAGCGTAATTCAACATGTCACCATGGCATTTGGATCGTTCACGCCTGATTTCGATGAAAAGTAGTGAAATTTAGAACATATAGTTACAACATTTTAAATCTCATACAAACTAATGTGAGACTGATTATTGGCCATATAAACATCATTTGCCACCGAAATTCATAGTTTCTATGTGTTGATTACAAGTGGTACAAACTCGATATGTGGTACCACATAACCATAAAGTGGTGCTGTCTTACTCTAGATCTGGTACTACTTTTTTTAAATATTGACCACAATTGAAATAATCTATTTTCGTTTTCCAAAAGTAGGTACTAATTGATCAATAAAAAGTACTAAATAGAAGAAAAACAGGCACCATTTCAGCCAAAACCGGTACCATAACTGTATTAAGTATTATTTTTCCATTATTGCGTTGATTTCGTGACAAATTTACAATTAAACTTAATTAACCAAATTTTATATATCATATAAACAAATGTGAGAGTGATTATGGGTCGTATAAACCTCATTTACGACCGAAATTCGGTGTTTTAATATGTACATTACATGTGGTACTAAAGATATGATATGTGGTTCTGAAGTCCCATAAAGTGGTACAACCTTACTCTAGGTTTGGTACTACATTTTTTCAATGTTGACCACAATTGAAATAATCCATCTTGGTTGACCAAAAGTTGGTACTAATG